GCACTGCCACACTGCTGTGACTTCAAAAGAACAGGCCAGGCTTTTCTCATCAAAAGCACAAGGATTCTTCACCAGCCTCAAACTTGCTGAGAAAAGCTTTTTATTTTTCCATCCAGAGGAAAAACTGCTTATGTGTGAGGGAAGGGCTATAATGGTGATGGGTGAGGAGATGTTAAAATCTCTCAATAAATCCACTCTGTTGAATTCAAAAGGCTTCTCGTGTCCTTCATGAGTTCCGCTCACCCTGCTGTGGGACTGCTGGAGCGTCCTGAGGCAGAACGAAGGTCTCTGTTCTGCAGCAGGCTGTGTGTTACCCTGGAGAGATCTGGAAAGAAATGCAGTGGCCAGCTGTCTAAGATGGAGTGAAATTTCTGGCCATGTTTTTTTTAACACTTCAGGCCATGCTGTTAGAGTGCATCTTGGTGAACACCCCCAGGCCATTATTATTTGAGTCTTGTTTAGAAGACTGGTGAAGCCTGTGGGTAACTGTTCCACTGTGCTCAGGAATTCTGCTAAAATCTTGATTAGAGCACTTTGCTCACTGCCTTGTGCCTGGCTGTCCTCACACCTGCCTGTTGGACACGCACCCCTTACAGGTAGAGCTTTTTTTTAGGACACAAAGAATTACATGACAGAAAGCAACTTCTGCTTGCTGTCATATTGAAGAATGATTCTCTGCTGGAGAGTAGGCTGAAGCTTTAACTGAGTTGGAATTGTGGGATAGATGCAACTTTTCAGTGACCAGGGAATTTTAGTACCTACAGGTAACAAGCAAAAAGACCCTGTGTTGTGCTTGCAGAGTAGTTGGAGCTGGTAGACAGTGCTGCTGACTGACTTTATAGAGAGAAAAAAATCACAGAAAGGGCAAAGTCTTGGGCAGCCTGGGTCAGTCTCACGGTCAGGCAAGCACAAATGCAGCCCTGCCGCGGTCACAGCTCCACTGTTGACATGTTTGACTTAGTTTTTCCTCCAGTAGCTTGTTTCTCAAATATGTTGAAGACAGATCAGCCTTGCAAGACAATGAATGTCTGAGCAACAGCTGCAATGGGGGATGGATTTCCCTGCTCTGAGCAGGGGGTTAGACTCAGTGCCAGCCTCAGGTCCCATTCAGCCTGAATTACAGCCACAGCTAAAACATGTAAACGCTGATGGAGCAGGCCAGAAAAAGACAAGGACTTAAACTCTGGTTTTGTCCAGTTTCAGGGCAACTTTCTGCTTTATTACACTCTTATTAAATATTCTAGAAAGTCTTAACCCAAACACATAACTCAATTTATTTTACTCAAATTCACAAAAGATATTTACAGAACTGTAACTGGCTTCAACACTTTCTCCAAATACAGCGTTTCAGAGGTCCAGCTGACAGAATGGATTGTATCCTGCTGGACACTAAGCAGGACAGAGCTATCCAGCTATGGAACAAAGGCTCCAGAGCCCTCAGGTCCGCTTACTGTCAAGGAGAGCTCTATCCCTGAGGGCTGGGAGGTGGGTCTGGCACAGCAGGGAAGTTCCACTGTAAGCCAGTGCCTGTTGATTAGCTATCTTACCCTATTCCTGAAGCCTCTTCTTCCAGCTCTTAAACAGTCAGAAGAAAAGCAAAATGTTTGAAAGACAAAAGGATTAGTCTCCAGGTGGTGTAACTCCGCACCACAACAGGAGGTGGATGCTGAATGCCCATGTGCCCCAAATCCACTTTTGTTTTCCTTCTCTTAAGAAAATGGGGGAACATATCCAATGTCCACAGTGATGTTGGTATAAAGAGGATGCTTCGTCCTGGAAAGGAGCTTGAATTCTAATGAATTCATTCCATCATCTTTCCATGTTTTTCTGGTGTTGTGGTGGGAAGGAGGCCTGAAGAAGGAAGAAAAGCTGCAGTTAGACAGAAGAACAAAGGTGATCTTTGCAGCTGAAGCTGCAGAAGAAACAGTCTTCCAGATGGGGCAAGGGCTTAGTAGATGAGATCTGCTAGCAGAAAAGCCCCAAGAAAGTTCTTCTCACACAATACAGACTAGAGAGAGGCATTTTATAAGACTAAACAGATTGGAGTAAGTTAACATTGAGTAAAGGAGGACAGTCTGGACTGGAACCTAATCAGACAGGGAGACCAGTGAGGTGGTAACTAGTGTCTACAAAAAAAAATCCAAGAAACTGGCAGAAGCTTAGAGAGCCCTGGGAGCGCAACAGAGGCTTGCAGCAATGGTGTACCGAGGCTACTGGGGGTGGGTTTTAAGACAGGATTGTTACAGAAACCTGAGTGTTGAGATGAGAGAAGGAAGTCTGCACTCTTGGTAGGAGGAGCCTTCACCATACCTGACCCACCACCCTCCTCCAGCTCTTTATATAAAACTGAGTCTCTGCTAAGGTCTCTCATAGCACCTTCCTCATGTCTTCAAATGAGAATATCACTTTCCACTATTTTAAGGCACATTGTAAATCCACACAGATTGAAGAGTAAGTTTTTTGTACAAGGAACCTGTAACAAAGTACCTCTTCTGACTGAACTCTCCCTATTTACAAGAGAGGCAGTATTTTATTTTTTGAAGTCTTATTCCTGGAATAATTTCATGCTTAAGTCTGATATGTGTTAGCTTCCTAGCTAGCATGTGTCCTTACCAGCAGGAAACAAGGAGAAACCCTTCAAGTGCGAAGACAGGAACAGAATGATTCACTTGAAACTGAGTGGAAGCCTTCTTTAAATAGCCACATTAATGCAGAAAAACAAGTAGTGGCATTAGGTGCACCTTCTGCCAGGTCTGAAGATGATGATGGTACCAGTCAACCTGCCACAAGGCAGACTGGCCTCCTAACTGCCCCAACCCCAGCAGTTACCTTCTCCAAGGCTCTTGTGTCTCTGTCTCTTCAGCGTAGTCCATGACTTTGTAGCGACCAAGGTGCGGTGATGTCCGGACTTTTAACTGAATCCTTTAAAACAAACAAAATGTTTGCTTAGGCTTAGTTATAGGGAAGGTCAAAGTCACAGATGATTTCCAGTGTTTATGCAATCAAAGCAGAAGCTGAAGGGAGTGAGTTTAACACCACAGTGCCACGTTCTCTTCTCTAGCAGGTTCCAACCAGGCTTGGGCTGGAAAGCTCCCAGCTGTGGTGTGCTGAGGCAGAGTACGAAGAGGATTAGAGCAAGCAGGGAACAAACAACTGCCTACAAAGCATTCAAGAGCATTTTCCATGAGTCTGACAACTGAGCATTATTTTCACTTCTTTGTAAGACCAGAGCATTTACTGCCTAGTGGTCCATCACCTGAGCTTTTTAAAAAAAACCCACACCACCCAAAAACCCCCAAGCTTGCAGTTTCTGAAAGGAAACCAGTGCTGAGTTTCAGATCCAGGTTAAGCCTCTCCCTGCTCTTTGAGAAGTGCCATTCACTCAGATGGCCTGATTATTTTATTAATATTCATAAAAGATCAGTGTTAAATGCAGGCAGACAAACAAACGCGAGCTGCTCAGCTGCAGGCCAGTTAGGTAAGGAAAAATCTGAACCAAAGGCTCAGAATTCCAGACCAGAGCTGCTAAAAGCAGCATTTTGGGTGACTTTGAACTAACCTATTGCTGATGGCATCCATGTTAGGTTACCAATAAAAAGCACATGTAACAGGGCGAGCAAACCTCCGCTATCACAGGGCAGCTCTTAGGCAGAGAAAATGCCCAGGAATACAAGAAGGAATGTTTGCTCAGCTGGGGTTATCCAACTGGCATGTTGGCAACATTTGATTGCCTTCCATTGTGGTCCGGTGCAGCGTCAAGCTGCACTGAAACAGGAATGTTAAAGCTGAGAGAGGCTGCAAAACTGAAGGCATCTGTTAGGCCAGAGCCATCTAATGATACCACTTTGTTGACAGCTGGAGAGGGACTTTTTCCAAGGGCATGTAGTGATAGGACAAGGGGCAATGGCTTTAAACTGAAGGAGGGGAGATTTAGATTGGATATAAGGAAGAAATTTTTCACTCTGAGGGTGGTGAGGCACTGGAACAGGTTGCCCAGAGGAGTTGTGGCTGCCCCATCCCTGGAAGTGTTCAAGGCCAGGCTGGATGAGGCTTTGAGCAACCTGGTGTAATGGAGGGTGTCCCTGCCCATGGGAGGGGGGTTGGAACTGGATGATCTTTGAGGTCCCTTCCAACCCAAACCATTCCATGATTATTTCAGATTGAGTTTTAGACGAGGTTTCTAGTTTTCTGAACATCAGCTTATTGCACATCCAATCAAAAAGACAAGAAAAACTAAGAGCCATAAACTAGCTTTGCTGTTAGTTTTTTTGCATGGCAAAACAGAACTAAAATCATAACAGGAAACGGTTGATACGTTCATTTACTGTAAAGAAGAACCCAACAGACTTTCACAGAGTTGATAATGTTAACACCGAAGTGGTTCCAGTTAGTGAAAAAAAAAACGCTGGCTGCTACTTCTTGTTGGCAGACTGCAGCACTCTCCAGTATTAGTCCTAGCAAACACCAGCACCTACCCTTTGTTAGAAGAAAACACTAACTCTGCTGTAATAAGCAGTATCCCAGGAAAAAAAAAAAAAATCTTTACACAGGAGGGTTTTTTTTGACATTTCAAGGCCCAATTTCAAATACCATGTAGTAACAAAATTAATTAGAAGTGCTTGTGCACCTCCTAAAATCTGAATCCCAGTTAGTGCATCAAGCTGGCCGTTCAAAAACAGCCAGCTCCTTCCTAACTTCTGCAGGTTGAGACTTCAGTATATGAATATATATTCCATCACCTCCACGTACCCAGGGGCCAGAACCTGCTAATCATTGGTGTAAGTTTTCAGAGAAAAAACACAGGATTTACTTCCTTTCACGAAAGGGCTATTTTGGGATCTACATAACTTCCTCGCCTTAAGAGGTTTCCATAAGGAAGTGCACTCCTGTGAATAACTGGCATGACTCTCTGCCACTGGTACAGAAAACCACATCAGGTGCTTCAGCTGTACCAGGAACAGCAGAACAGACCCGGCATTGTAGTGTTTGATTTCAAGATCTATTTTCCTGGTATTGCATTCCTTTAGTAAATGCTGAATCTCTAAACAATCACACACCCTTTTAGTTAGCTTTCTCTGAAAAGAAAGGGAGGAATTCTGTTAGAAAATCTGACTTGCAGTTCCCAGAAGAACACTGCTTTTGTAAAAACTCCTACAGTCCCCAAACAGAACATTCCACTGAAACTGTGTAACTTGTCACACTGTGCAAGACCAAAAAACATGCAAGGCTTTTATTTTTCAGTTTAGTTTTACAAACTCCCCAAGAGCTTGCCTCGGTGCAAGATGATGAAGGTGCAACAGTGCAACTAGAAAGCTGAATAAAGCAGCTACAGCCACGATTTTGTACTTCAAGAATTCACATCAGGCAGAGTACCTGGAACTAGACTCATTGTATTCCTTTCTATAGCATGCTGCTGTCATGGCAACTGAAGGACAAGAAAAAAAACATCACATCTTGCTGTCACTGACTCACAGTAGCACCCAGGCTTCTCCATCACCCAGCACTGAAGACAGAAGTTAGAATTCTTTCCTGAATTCCAAGTACTGGTGATTAGATAATACTTGGAGCAACCTAGATACCCATCACAACTTAAATTCCCAGCTGTCTGAGAATTAATAAGTACCTTCTTGGTTTTCTTATTTGTCAAGCTTGCAGATTCCTTCCTTCCCTTGGGCCTGTTAATGTCAGTGAAGTCACTTGTCAACTACTGGTGGTTAGAACCCCTTGGGCATGCTCCAGAATAACTGAAGGCACAAGGATGTGAAGTAACATTCCACCTCCAGAGCCTGAGGAAAGCTTTGTCCTCCCAGGACACAATAGTTGGATTCACAGATTCTGAGCACCTTCTGCCATTAACCATTCCCAGTGCCATTTTGGATTACAACAATGCCACAAGCAGGTGAAGGAACAACATCCTAGCTCCCGTTTTAGGGTACTGCTACACGTTTCACTAGCTGGCTCCCTTCTATTGTAAGTCTGTCCTGCACGTTAGTACCTTGCAGCAATGTCGTCGTTTTCACCACCACTGCCCCAGTACGTGTTTGGAAACCCATTCATCTTCATGTAATGTTCTGGAGTCAGAGCAGATACACCCCCAAAAAAGGACTTATATGGCAGACTAAAAGAGAAAGGGAAAAAAAAAAATCATGAATATTGAAAGCTCATACCAGCCCTCCACAAACTGACAACACGATCCAAGTCACACACATGTTAATCACACACCTCACAGCCAGTCGTGACAGTGCCAAAACCCAAAAGAACAACACCAGTGTGATTTCTCTCGTGTGATGTGCCCCTCATCGTTCCCCCCCACCCAGCACAGCAAAGCAAAGCTGGTTTTGAAATTCTCATCTTGGGTTAGTTCAAAACACCTGCATCCTGTCACACATCTTCCATGTAATCCAATAATTCCCACCCTGTACTTCTGTTCGGGAAGGCAAACAAATCTGCTGGTCATTTGCCACCAAGCTGAGCTAACAGTGGAACAGGAAGCTGCAGGCAAGGAACTGTTCAAGATTCCATGCTTAGGCCAAGAATGTCATTTTCTGGGGAAGTCACTAGTGCAAAACCAACAAAAAACCTCTTCAAGGTTGTGTCTTCCACTGTCCTCATTCACACTGTCTGTGCAGAAAGTGACCCAACTGGGATATAGACATCCAAAGCAAGTGGAGGCACTTACGTGTACTGAAACTTCTCCATGGCACTAGCCATATGTTTGGGATAGTATTCGTCACAAACATAGAGATTATAATCATTCTCAGGTACCAGATCCACATCGTGCAGGAGAAGGCAGTCCCAGTCTTCATCCTTCAGGGCTTCCCGGACCCCGACGTTCAGCAGTTTGGCCCGGTTAAATGTACCATTCCCCACCTGGAAAAGAAAACCTGCACTTCTTCACCAAAACGACAGAACAAGCTAACTCAAAGTTTCTGTTAGTCAAAAAGCCTTATTTGGTGGAACAACGCTGGAATGAATCAACACTGGCAGCAGATTTCCTGCCCCAGACTATGAAAATTTTACCCACCCTCTTCACAACATTCTGAGCAAGTGTCGTTGCTGTGTCAGGAGCTGCATCCCATGGGCACCCAAAGGAGGCTGATTTCCAAGAGACCAGTAAGTCAGTCCTCAGGTATACATCTGCACATCAATGCCTCTCCCCTGACTACTGCTTATTAAAACTTGTAAATGAGAAAATAGATCTTAGTCACAAACAAAAAAGCTTTGGTTTTTTCATTCAGCTACAATTTTAATTAACGAATCCAAAACTTGCTCTCTCACCACTGATCTTTTACAATACCCGTCCAGGCCAGTTAAAAACGGCTGTTTGACTTGCATAGGCTGGCCCACAATAGGACCAGATCTTTTTCTTTGATACGGACTAAAACCATCTAACCTCACTTCAGCATTTAATCTCACCACTTTTGCTCAGCAGCCACACTGACAAGCTGCAGCCAAACCACATTCCACTCCTGAACAGCTGAAAATACGAGCTACCACTTAATGACAACTTTACCCCTCCAGAAGAAAAAAAAAAAAGCAGAACAAATCAACAGCAGAATGATGATCTTGACAAGTGGTATGACATTTCAATCATTAGCAGCCACGGAGATGGGACAGCATGTAACTGCCCTGCTCTAAATCCATACATAAAAAGATACTTCCATGTTAGAAGACTCACATTTCTTGTTCAGAACGTAACTCTTAGCTGGGCAGCTCAGCTACACCACCAGGCACGTGAGATTTAGATTTACCTGCTGAATCAAGTAGATGCTGTAACTGAGCTGCTGGCGCTGCAAGAAAGGGTGAAGATAGTAGAGCAGATGGCGAAGGTACTTCTCCTGGTTCCTGTAGGCCACAAGGATGGCTGACTTGTAGCGGGCCAAGCAGTGAGGTGGCCTGTAGCGGCCACCAGGCTGAACAAAAGGATTTTTTTTGATGATCATTCTTTCACTAGGGAGTGTCCTGAAGGTGATGGTTAATGGACCAACTGTAAGGACAGACAGAAAAGGAAAAAATAACATCAGTGATGTTTCTCGACCTTCGTTCAAGCCTATCTTAGCTACTACTTAAGGCACCAGCCCAGTCCTAGTACAGAGCAGTTAATGCCACCATCCAGATGTGCCCACGTGACAAATTCCACTGCTGCCTGCTGGTCACCTCTGCAGGGCTCCACACCCAGGGGTGTTGGGCTCAGCACCAGGCTGGCGGGCTACCTGCCAGAGAGGCATCCCAAGTCCTGGCACAGCCAACAAGCCTCACCAGGCTCCTGCACAGCTTGCTTTTTCCTGGTACTGGCTCCCTACTACATAAGCAAACCTTCAGTCCTGTGCTGCAGATGTGATCCTTCAATAAATGTATTTACTGTAAGAATAGCACTGAAAATAAATCAAGATAAAAAGACATCACTGCTTTTGCTACCCATGTGGAAAAAGTCTCTAAGCCTCTTTCAGAGGAGATTCAAGGACAAAGATGTCCAAAAGGATATTCAGCAGGTTGGGGAAGAAATAGCTTAAAGCCTGGATGAATACCAACGCTTTAGGAATCATTACCTTTATTGTTAAAAAGAAAAGGTTCCGCTTCAATTTGATGTTATAATCACAAGGGCTGTATTTGCTGTATTATTTAATTACACACGCAGTGACAAACAGGCAGTACTTGAGAATTTTGGGAGAAGCAGATGACAGAACTGAGAAGGAGAGAGATGTTACATATTTTCAGGAACAGGTGTAACTACGTGTGATATTTTCTCTACTCAGCACCTCGATTTGAAATGCAAAACACATCAGGTAAAAACCATTAAGTATACTGTATAAGGAAATAAGTCTGCATTTTAATCTGAATTCTTCTGTTTTTCAGGTGGAAAAAGCTTGACAAGTCACAAGAAAGAATCAATAAAAAGTGTCAATCGCCGTTTTAACACAGGTGTCGTATTGCAACAATAGGAACTAACAAATTCCACAATTATTTAAACGCCTGTCCTCCTAGGCCGTGAGAAAGGTTTCAGAACTAGCAGAAGAGTTATATTTATACATGAATCAGTGTGTCTTAGTGGTTTCCAACCACTATCAACTTTTAGGGAAATAAGGCACAAACGCAGAACAAGATTAACATCTGTTACTTCACTAGGAAGAAACCTTTCCCTCAGTCGCAATTAAAAGCTGACAATTTCCAACGGCAGCTTTAAGTAGGACTGACAACTCTGCAGGCCATGCTACCCAAAGACAAAATATTTTTTTTGCATGAGAAGCCTGTGAGGCAAGTTGTTGGGTTTTGTTTTGCTTTTCTTTTTTTTTTTTAAACAACTATAAATAAGTTTTCCTTCCGAGCTCACAGTTAATGCTATGGCTGTCTTGAAGCAAGTTTTCAGTATCTTTTAAGTCAAACTCCCTCGTAAACCATGAAATAAATAATTCTCTCAAAAAACTTCTGATAATGAAGCCTGAGAGAGAAAGAGCAAATATTTCAGCCTAGTCTTTAGTAGCTTCCATTTGAGCAGAGAAAGGTGTGTGTGTCTTAAGTCAAATTAAATATTTAAGCAGCTGAGTCCAGAAGATACTTCTTCCAGCCCATCCTACATCCACATCTCTGCTACGATTCTGTGCTGGGTTTATGGGAGGGGCTGCGGAAACGGCCCCTGGAAACATCTGTGGAAAGCTCAATGTGCTGGCTTTAGGTGATAGGGTTTGGCAGCACGGGAAGGGCTGCAGAAATGGCCCCTGTAAGTAGCTGTGAAAAGCTTTCCCAGTTCCAAAATCGGTTGGACCGGCCTCTGGCCAGGTGAGACCCTCCCCATCCCCTCAGGCCAGGGCTGAGCCATCAGCACATCTGTGAATGCCCTATTTAAGGTGGGGACAAAGGAGCCCGAACCAAGGCTGGACCCATGCTGAAGAGAGAGAGGAGGCGGGCAGCTGGTTACCCATGCTAGGCTGCCACTACCCAACTGGAGATGGCTGCAGCCAGCATGCCTTGGAGAGCTCTAAAGCATCCTGCTGCTGGGGCACCCACTGGGAGGAGTTCATCTTGCCGGGACTGCTGAGGTTCATCAAGAGCACTGAGATCTGAGAGGAACAGCCAAGCAGACACCAAGGACAGTGAAGATGGAATGGAAGGAGGTGTGCCAGAGCTGAGATTCCCCTACAACCGGTGGTGTGATGGCAGGCGGCCCTCCTGCTGCCCATGGAGATTAACTGTGGAGCAGAGATCCAGCCACAGCTCTTGGAGAACCCCACGCTGGAGCAGAGATGCCTGCACCTGATGGAAGTCGGAATGGTCTCCATGAGCTGCTGGAGGCTGACAATGAGGCAGAGAGGCATCTGAAGCCCATGGAGAACCCCATGCCAGAGCAGGTGGCAGCTCCCTAAGAATCCGTGACTTTGTCGGGAAGAAGCTTGTGCCAGAGCAATCTGATGGGTCAGGATTGCATCCTGCAGGAAGGACTCAGGTTGGAGAAGTGTGTGGACTGTCCTGTGAGAAGGAGATCCACTGGAGCAGAGGAAAAGTGTGTCAGGAGTCCTCCTCCTCCTTTAAGCAAGGAACAGCAGAAACAGAATGTGATGAACTGACCTGCAACCCCCGCCCCATTCCCCGTCCCCCTGTGCCACTGGGGGAGGAGGCAGAGCCGGGAAGAAGGGAGGGGTGGGGGGAAGGTGGTTTTGAGATCTGGCTTTGTTTCTTGTTATCCTCTCCAAATGAGCCGTTAATGAATTAAATGGATTTGTCCCCAGACTGAGTCTGTTTTTCCTGGGACCATGGTTGGAGGGTGATCCCTCCCCTGTTCTCATCTCCACCCTCAGCCCTTTCAATTTTTCTCCTCTACACCCCATCGTGGGGGAGCAGTGAGTGAGTGGCCATGTGGTGGCTTAGCTGCTGGCTGGGCTGAACCACAGCAGAGTCTAACAAAAAAAAATGGAGCCTGCGTTCACCCACATTCCGTTTAACTGACACAGAAGGAAGCGACATTCCTCCACTGGCTTTTCGGTGGGGGGTTTTTTGAGCACTAACCAGGCCTAAGGACTAAATTTTGCACAAGATTCAAGCTGTCCATTCAGCACTGGGAAACATTTTGGAAGTACATGGAAGTTGGTTTACCTCACATTTCTGATGAGCAAACCTATACTCCATGTCTCCTTTTCCTCCTCAAGGAACACACATAATGGCACCTCCTGAAGGTCGGTCTGAACAGCCACTGATCCCACTCCTCACACCATCAAAAAGGTCTAGCCGCTATAGAACCATAGAATCATGGAATGGTTTGGGTTGGAAGGGACCTCAAAGATCATCCAGTTCCAACCCCCCTGCCATGGGCAGGGACACCCTCCACTACACCAGGTTGCTCAAAGCCTCATCCAACCTGGCCTTGAACACTTCCAGGGATGGGGCAGCCACAGCTTCTCTGGGCAACCTGTTCCAGTGCCTCACCACCCTCAGAGGGAAGAATTTCTTCCTTATATCTAATCTAAATCTCCCCTCTTTCAGTTTAAAGCCATTGCCCCTTGTCCTGTCACTACACGCCCTTGTAAAAAGTCCCTCTCCAGCTTTCCTGTAGGCCCCCTTTAGGTACTGGAAAGCTGCAATAAGATCACCCCGGAGCCTTCTCTTCTCCAGGCTGAACAGCCCCAACTCTCTCAGCCTGTCTCCATAGCAGAGGTGCTCCAGCCCTCGGATCATCTTCATGGCCTCCTCTGGACCCGCTCCAGCAGTTCCATGTCCTTCTTGTGCTGGGGACTCCAGAGCTGAACACAGTATTCCAGGTGGGGTCTCAGGAGAGCACAGCAGAGGGGCAGAATCACCTCCCTTGACCTGCTGGCCACTATGAATCCCACTTCATGGTTTATTTTGGTTGGTTGGTCTGGTTTTGTTTATTTTTAAAAGGAAAAACTGAGTTTTGCTTGTCAGCAAGATTGTGCAACAGCTGACTCTTTAAGCATCACACTTCAGTCCTGTAAAACACACTTCAGTATGTAAAACACAGGGGGAACGTGATTTTGTCTGCGTTACTCTCAGCAGGTTTTTTTTTGCCATACCTTTGTACCTGAAACAGAAGAGTTCCTCAGAGAATCATGCTGTGGGCCCAGGAGTCTAGGTCACATTTTCTGTTCAGATTTTATGATGTTATTACCTACTTCTACACAGAGTTTCCTCTTCTGCCTTTAAGACCACCACATGTCAGTCCAACGTTTTTTTGTTAACCTGTAATTTATGTTGCTTTTTAGATTTATGAACTCCCTGATTATCAGATCTTCTAACTAAAGCACCATTTACCTCTGATTCAATGACAACTGGAGCTTGCTAAAGAAATGTTATATTCAGACTGGATTTCAACTACAGATCATTGTTCCAAGGAAAATATATGAAAGGGAATAAATCCCTTTTGTTCTCCCACAAAGGCAGGGTTTTGTTTCCTATAACACAACAGGGGCTTTTTGTGTTGAAGAGTGAGATTCCATAGCGATAATCCTTAAATTCTAAAAAATCAAATCTAAATTTGGACATAAGGATATGAGTAAGATCATGTGCAATAGTTTCACTCCTGTTGTCTCCTTCCATACTCAAGCATATGATTCATGAGGGTAATATCTGCATTTTTCAGGTTTTTCAAGATGTCCTGTTCTCCTGAGCTGCCTGGCTCCATACCTCAAACAACTCAGCTCAGAAACTCTGTATAGTACATGCCAAGGAAACACGGAAAAAAAGTTAAAAGTCTGTGATATATATATCCCCAAAACCTCTGGCTGCCCTACACTCCTTGGCTCCAAGCTAAATTCCGGCTTTCAGGTCTCCTTCCCATTCAACTAACAAAAGGCTAATGCACTGTAATCCGTTTAAATCCCAGCTGTGAACAGAGCTGGACCAAACAGGGAAAAATAAAACTGCTAAAGTGCAACTTCAGGAAAGGACATGCTAGAAAGTACAGGATCCCAATTCAGACAAGGTGCAAAATCAACACCCTGAAGCATCCAAGTAATTTCTCCATAGCCTGACTCCTAAGCTCTTTCCATGTCTGTATCATCACACAGAGTGTTTAATTAATAAGAAACTTTAGCATGCAGAGTTAACACTCCCAATTCCCTGTCTGTATCGTTAGCGGGTGCCAGTGGCAGCACACTCCCTGCTTGCTTTACTTTCTAGGCAACTGCTGTGGCTTAACCCCAACTGACAACCAAACCCCACACATCCGCTTGCCCACTCCCCTCCAGTGGGACGGGGCAGAGAATCAGAAGGGTAAAAGCAAGAAAACTCGTGGGTTAAGATAAAAACAGATAAATAAGTAAAGCAAAACCAGGAATTCATTCACAGCTTCCCATGGGGAGGCAGGTACTCAGCCATCTCCAGGAGAGCAGGGCTCCATCACGCAGAACGGTGACATGGGAAGACAAACGCCATCACTCCAAGTGTCCTCCCCTTCCTTCTTCTTCCCCCAGCTTTCTATGCTGAGCATGACATCATATGGTGTGGAATATCCCTATGGTCAGCTGTCCCAGCTGTGTCCCCTCCCAACTTCTTGTGCCCCCCCAGCCTGCTCGCTGCTGGGGTGGGGTGAGAAGCAGCAAAGGCCTTGACTCTGTGAGTGCTGCTCAGCAGCAACAAAAACATCCCTGTGTTATCAACACTGCTTTCAGCACAAATCCAAACCATAGCCCCATACCAGCTCCTGTAGAGAAAATTAACTCTATCCCAGCCAAAACCAGCACAACAGCACATCTGACTATCAAGCGCATCTATGGATTTTGACCAGATTTATCTCACCTTAAGAAAGAAGCCACACGACTTCTAAACTCCTTGCTACACGTTTCGCCCTACCACCTATGATTGCTGAGCTCAACCAGAGTCAGCAGAACTGACACAAGCTAAGCAAACAGGAACAGAAGCATGGATGAGAAAGCGCAGCGCCACACACTACATTAATAGAGGAATATTTGCATAATTCTACCAGTCTTTGCGGGAAAAAAAAAAAAAGCAGACCAACAGCCTTAATCTAAGCACCAGTTTCTAATGGCAGAACACAAGGCTGTCTCAACTGCAGCTGAAATAAATCTCAGCATTACCACCGTTTTACTTCTCTTTCAATCGAAGAGAAGAAACTCCAGCAGGAGAGTATCCATTAGGAAATGCAGCAGGAGCTTCTCACTACCACAACAGATGGTCACACTCATGAAAAGGTTATGACAGATGGGAGCAAAAGGGAGTAATTACTATCAGAAGGGCTTGGAAAAAAATTATTCCATAGCATGAGCATATTTAAAACAGCAGAGTTACAGACAGCACTTTCAATTATTAGAGTCCAAAAGAGCTAAACCAACTCGTTCAGCACATACCATACATGAAGTAAGGTATCCCTTTAAAAAAAAAAAAATCAAAAACCTGAGTCCTCTAGCATCAAGCTTCTTCCTGGTAAGATGAAAAGATGAACTGAAACTAACACCACATCTTGCCTGCAATGAGATAAAAGTCAGATTTTGAATATAAATGCTACTTCGTTAAGCCTGAATGAGCACAAGTGTAGCATATAAATGCTTTGCTTTTTCCAAAAAGGAAGGAGGAGGAAACAGGCACCTGGTTCTTTGTGTAGAAAGTTTAACCTCTAAGGGAACTTGAGTAATTTATTCACAATATTAACAAAGACACTGAATATCTAGTATAATTCTTTTCAAGTTGTGGGTCACTAACAGTTCAATGAACACCACTAAGTGTTAAAACAGTAACATGAGTCACCAAGAGCCTAGTTCCTCCAGAGCAGAGATGGTTAGTAATTATACTTTTAATTCTTACTCCACAGCCCTGGAAGAACCAAGATGCTGTAGAGTCAGGAGGCAGGAAAAAGAGAGCTGATCTGCAAGCTGATTTTACATTCCAACAGTTATGAAAATTATCTACTTTATACATAAGTGGAAAAAGCGCTGAGCTTCATAAAAGCCCTGATGCAGAAACTCTTTAAGCCATTCGGCACTCTTCCAGTCACTTTAACACACTTTGGAGTGGACACAGTCACTTATTACCAGCTCTGAACTGGAGAGCTCTCAAGAGCTGATTTGAAATCTCACTTCCTGGAGTTTATGAAATGAATATTAAAAGGCATCATTCTCTCTGATACAATGCTTCCAAGAAAAAAGATTTCTTTTGCTTAAGCTGAACCTGTATCAATGCTCCAAACAGTTTGTGTTTCATAGTAACAATGCTACGTACACTCAACTCTAATTTTTTTGCAGCAAAACTTCCTCAATTACTTTGCCTCTTTTTTTTTTCCTCCCAGTCAACTTTACTGTTTGTTTCCATCTATAACTAACATTCTGTTTTCATTTTAGCTCTCAAGTACCACGTGCAGGCCAACTCCCTCTGTTCTCAGCACGTTCAAGGGTGGGCAGAGGTCTTAAAAAGATTTCACAGCTCCATGAGCATTGATTACTGTAATTTTACTCTATGTCTGCCTCCTCCATGCACGCCACTGCTCTTGCTTATCTGATGGTTTGCAGGCAAGCCGCGCAGAATTGCACCTAGTTTGGTTTGGTTTTCTTCTTTTGAGACCAAAGCTTTTTTGACTCTCTTCAGGGCAGTGCATCCTTACCAGTAGTGGAGACAAGCAGAGTGCAGGCATGTTTCTGCTGTGCTTTTTCAAATAAAAACAATCAAGTCAGAAACACAGAATTGTAACTTCCCGAAAGAACAGTGGTGAACTGAGACTGCACCAAGACCGTTACAACCAGCACCTGTGCAAAATGGTCTGTGCTATTAGTATTTCAGGATTATTTAGTAGAGCTGTTTCCATGGGAAATGCTGAAGCATACACTCAAAAGTTATCATACAATTTCATTATACATGCTGCATGGAGCACCTCTGCTATGGAGACAGGCTGAGAGAGTTGGGGCTGTTCAGCCTGGAGAAGAGAAGGCTCTGGGATGATCTTATTGCAGCCTTCCAGTACTTAAAGGGGGCCTACAGGAAAGCTGGAGAGGGACTTTTTACAAGGGCGTGTAGTGACAGGACAAGGGGCAATGGCTTTAAACTGAAAGAGGGCAGATTTCGATTCGATATAAGAAATTTTTCACTCTGAGGGTGGTGAGGCAGTGGAACAGGTTGCCCAGAGGAGTTGTGGCTGCCCCATCCCTGGAAGTGTTCAAGGCCAGGTTGGATGAGGCTTTGGGCAACCTGGTGTAGTGTCCCTGCCCACGGCAGAGGGGTTGGAACTGGATGATCTTTGAGGTCCCTTCCAACCCAAACCATTCTATGATTCTATGTATTTCATACATTTTCTATGTATTTCTATGTAAATACATGATTCTGTGTATTTAAGAACAGAGGAAGGAAGAAAACGTATCAAAAGAACAAGGCTCATCCAAAGCATCCCAGCAGAGCTCTCTAACCTCAGTAAGCAACTTGACACAAGAGTAGCCACAACACGGGCTTTCCCCAACACTTCAACCTGAGAACCACGGTCCGTGATTCACTCGTAGCGTGCTCCACATGCGGTGATCAGCTTTCCTAGAACAGCAGGGCAGCTACTAAGGAGTGCTCCAAGACTAGTTACATGCAAGATTTAGAGATGCAGAAACCCTTGTAGTACAGAAAAAACAGATGAGGGTAACTAACTTACTACACAGTGCTCTAAGAAGCAGGCATCTCCAAACCAGCTGTAAGTGCATGCTTACAGAACTTTATCCCTTCTGGGCTGATTGGAACGGATTCACCATTACTGGAGAGTTGCACTACTTTGCTACCAACAAACTTGCTTTATGGGTTTGATTTTGTATTTACTCCACGTTTCTATTTACTAGTGCACTAGCTGGATTAATGCTGCCTCTACGATCAGCTCTAATTTGTTTCTAGTGTAAGTACAAATTAACCTGTGACCAGATTTTTAAAGTTATAAAGTCTAAAGGACACATAACAATCATAGGCCAAAAAGACCACCATGAAAAGCAAGCTGTCAAGCTGCATTCTCATACAAAAAAACCCAACACCCAAACATTTAAAGCCAACTTAATCAATTAATATTGAACTACAGGCTTGATATAAGGCTGAGACAGAGAATCTAGGAGCTACAGTATGACCAGATTTTTAAAGTTATAAAGTCTAAAGGACACATAACAATCATAGGCCAAAAAGACCACCATGAAAAGCAAGCTGTCAAGCTGCATTCTCATACAAAAAAACCCAACACCCAAACATTTAAAGCCAACTTAATCAATTAATATTGAACTACAGGCTTGATATAAGGCTGAGACAGAGAATCTAGGAGCTACAGTCACAGGTGAAAACTATGCAGTTACCAAATTACAAGCATTGGGACATTTTATACAGGACCACCAAGAAAAAAAAAAAGTGTTACTTACTTGGTATTAACACCATGCACTGTTTTCACTCCTGTTCTACAATCGCCAAATCCTTAACATTGGAAGTTTTTAGATCAGTAAAATACTCTTCCTCGTATAACCAATAAAAACGAGTTAATTAACACACGAAAATTTTGTCAGTGTAAGCATTACACTGGTATACCGCTTTTAAAGTGGAAAAGTTTGGAAAATATACAACGTACATATACAAAGCGTTCAGTTTATCACGCACCAAAGCAGCTATTTCAAACACTACTGGTTTCTACCTACCAAATATCGGTGACTGGACTGAGCAGTACCGCATAGCTTCTTCGTTAGGAGCTCGGGTAAACAAGCTGAGGTTTGTATACACATCGTGAGTTTTTGAGTAATCCAGAAGCTGATGAGAGTCTAAAATCCCACGAAACACATTTGAAGGTCCACCTCGGTAGAGTATCAGGATAAATATCGCTTGGAAGACAAACAGAAACAGCAGAAAACACGGATTTTCCACACGGGAGAGGGACATAGTTTTTAGCCCATGGTCTGGAATCGGACCGGTGAGGAGTTTAACCGCCTTCC